AGTTGTAGCCTGCAGAGGAACTTGTTCCTCTGCTTCTACCCAAAATCCAATGAGTAATCAAAGGGCTGGTCTACACTGGGGGGGGCAGGAGGGGGCAATGTTAGATACGCAACTTCAGCTACGGGAATAGCGTAGCTGAAGTCGACGTATCTTATTTCGACTTACCTCGGGTCCTCACGGCGCGGGATCGACGGCCGCAGCTCCCCTGTCGACTCCGCTACCGCCGCTCGCCCTGGTGGAGTTCTGGAGTCGACGGGAGCATGTTCGGGGATCGATATATTGCGTCTAGATGAGCCGTGATATATCGATCCCCGATAGATCGATTACTACCCGCCAATTCAGCGGGTAGTCTGGCCGTACCCAAAGTAATGAATCTACATTAACAAGGTTGTTCGTTGTTGTTGTTCTTGAAGGGCTGTCACCCCTGGACGTTCCACTGATTGTTGTTACTAGTCAGTGCTGAATTGTGTTATGGGAGAAAAAGTGTTGCCTCTCTCTTTCTCCGTGTAGCTTCTGGTGTCTTCTGTTTAGAGTACAAAAGCTGGGCTTGCCCCAGGAGCTAACATCAGCAGCTGTCAGCTGAACTTCAGTCTGTGGTTAAAGCATGTGAATGAGAGTTTCAATTCTTAATTTCTATTCCTGACTCAGGGTAGTCTACACTGGCAATGCTAAACGTGGCTTGTGTAGTCACGGCAGAGCGCTAGGAGAGAGCTCTTCTAGTGCTCTAAAAAACCATCTCCACGAGAGGCGCAGCTCCCAGTGCTAGTGCACCGTTGACACTGGTGCTTTACAGCGCTGAAACTTGCTGTGCTCAGGGGCATGTTTTTTCACACCCCTGAGCGAGAAAGTTGCAGCGCTGTAAAGTGCCAGTGTAGACAAGCCCTCAGTTGCATCTCATGGTGCGGTGGACAAGTCACTTAACCTCTCTGCCTCCCCATCTGTGAAGAGGAGATAATCAAATTTACCAGCTTTGTAAACTGATTTGATATCTGTGGCTGAAAGGCACTACATAGTTCTGGTAGTGTTCTTAGTATCTTAGGAACGGGACATTTACGGCAGCGATGTTGGCCTTAACCGGTCGTTTTCTTTTTAAAACCATTCATGCATAAGAGAAAGGGCATAACTTCTGCCTCCTACGCATAAAGAAGGCCCTGTTCATGTGCTCCCTCTTCTGACAACATGTCTGTACAGCGTTGCTTAGGCTGGGATGCACAAGACATCATTCATTTTCTGTTTTAGCTTTTTAATTTTTCATGGAGGCAAGAACTAGTTTTAAAAATTAAATGAAGGTGCTTTACTTCTTATACTTACTAAGAGTTTTTAAAGTGGTTACTTTAGATGCTTACTGAAGATTACCAAAACACTGTAAAAAGCCACTTTGCCCTTTTCCCAGGAAGTACAAACTACATTGAAAGCTTTGTTATCCGGTATGTTGGGGAGATGGGGGCTGCCAGTTAGCCAAAAATTAGTTAACTAAGAGTTGTACTTACCAATGGAGGGGAGGGAGTTTGGGTGCGGGAGGGGGCTCAGGGCTGGGAGTTGGGGCATGGGGTGTAGTTCTGGGAGAGAGTTTGGGTGCAGGCCAGGGCTCGGGGCAGGGAGTTGGGGCGTGGGAGGGCTTTCGGGGTGCCAGATGCGGGTGGCGCTCACCTTGGGCAGCTTCCTGCAAGCGGCGACATGTCCCTGCTGCTCCTAGGTGGATATGCGGCCAGGCAGTTCTGCGCACTGCCTCTGTCCACAGGCACCGCCCCTGCAGCTCCCATTGGCCGTGGTTCCCAGCCAATGTAAGCTGCGGAGCCAGCACTCAGGGCAGGGGCAGCGTATGGAGTCCCGTGGCCATTCCTCCACCTAGGAGCAGCAGGGACATGTCATCGCTTCTGGGGAGCCACGAAGAGCCAGGTAGGGAGCCTGCCGGACCCGCGCCAACTGGACTTTTAATGGGCCGGTGTGCGGTGCTGACTGGAGCCACCAGGGTCCCTTTTCAACCAGGTGTTCCAGTTGAAAACCGGACACCTGGCAACCCTATGAAGATTTGTATTGGGAGATATCAGAAATGCCGGTTTCTAGAGCTTTCCAGTTGGTAAAGTGCCGGATAACACCAATTTTACTGTCTTGACAGTTCAAAGGCTTTTGGTTCATAGCATTTGTTTCTTTCTATGATAGAATATTCTATCTACTGAATTCAGGTGAAATACATAGAGCATGGATGCCACTCATCAACTGCTTTCTCAAATCTGCCTCAGGGTTTCCCTAGGAGATTGATATTCAGGCATCTCTTGTAGCATTGATTCTTTTCATTCTTAGCAATGACCTTTCTGAAATTCTGGGCTGAAACTGAAGTAAATGTCCTGTTTCTGAAACCTTCCCCCAGCCACTAAACAGAAAGCAGCCTTTAAACTAGTATGTATGATGCCCTGTGGAACCCTCCAGTTGAATGATGGAAATAAACATTTGCTCTATGGAACAAAAGTAAACAGGGTCCCATTGTTCTGTAAGCATTTGCTGCACCATGATTTGGATTAAACTCTCTGGGGACATATTATCATACCAGGAGTGACACTCTCATTTATACTGCACAGCTTCTCTCTCATCCATCGCTAATGGATAATGCCCCTCAGTGTGGAATTTGCAAGTGGTTCAGTGTTGTTGATGGAGGCTCTGGGACTAAGCGCTGCCCTTCAGCGTAGGCTACCAGATTTTCTGCCCCCAGCAGCAGACCAAATTGGCAGTTCAGTTTCTTCTAGCCATTTTGTTTTCTAACTTTAATTTCTATTTATTTTTGTGCGGTAGTGACTTCATTTCAGCATCTAGCTCCTCTTTCCCTCTCCTGAGGTGAAGAATCTCTGGAGTATAGACGCTCTCACCCTCTGGTTTCTCTGGCACAGCACCTCTGAAGTGAGCTCCCTCTGCCCTTCACTGCAGCAGCAAACACAGAGTCAAGTGTGTGAGTTGTTATAGGCAGCTTCTCAGGAGCCTCAGTGGGCCTGGTATACCCACTGACCCTTGTGCTGCCAGAACATGAGCTTTGAGTTGGAGAGACCTGTAGGACCTTGACCGCCTCCTGAAATCTCTACTCCCCTGTGGAAGACTCCATACCCATTCATGGACAACGTGCCAATTGGTACCCTGTCGAGAGAAATGGACCAATTCATAATATTCCAGCTGCTGGAAAGGATACATACCCACCAGTGGCTCAAAAATCGAGAAGAACTTTTTGAACCCAATGCAGAGAATTGCTCACCCATGGGTCAAAACTACTTGGCTCTGGCCATAATTTTCCTACCATGGTAAAGATTTGCAAAGATCCAAAACATCATTGTATCATTCATTTCCTGGCAGTGGTCATCTCTAGCCAATTGGCACCAGCAATCCTACCTGTAGGAGATAAGTACTGGCTTCATCTCTGAATGAGATTTTTCAAAATGCACCCTCTAGATATTTCTTTAAATGGAACCATTTACCGGGTACAATACAAAATTAGATGTCCTTCTCAGATCACCTTCAAAAGTCCATTTGTGGGCAGGTAAGTACAACCAACATGCTCAAGCAAGCCTCTCAAGGTGGAGTGCATACATGGATGACAAATTGTCAAAAATTTAGAATCCACATTCATTTAATTCACTTAGGTATACCACTGACAGAGTTGTCAGAATGAAAACATATACACATGACTGCATAGTTCAGACCAGTGGTCCATTTAATCCAGTATCTCATCTATAATTGTGGCCAAAACCAGCTGTTTCAAAAGAGGGTGCAAGAAACCACATTGTGGACAATTATGGTGCTCATAGGGGAAGTTTCCTGCTACCTCCCATGTAAATGTTTGTTTATGATTGAAGCATCAGTGTCTATATCCCTTTCAAAAATAAGGAGTAGCCAGGGGTCAAAGCTCCTCTGTCCAGGATATTATTTTCATTGCCACAGAGAAGAATCTGCTACCTTTCAAGACAGGTTGCATAAAGGATACAGAAAAGAGGGAAAGGGTCTCCCCATAGTCCTCCAATGACCCAAAGGCACTCTGAACTTGACAGACAGCCCCGGAACCTCCATTGCACCTGCAGAAAACACCAGATCTCTTTAAGCAGGGACTCCTTCATCCAGACCTGGGCCACCTACAGTTACAGCCTGGGCATTGGAAGAGAGAGTGTAATTCAGCGGGGATTTTCCATTAGCCTCATTGAGAAATTTTGATATCCAGAGAGAATTCAACAAGGAAATTTCACTCCTTGATCTGGTCACATTACATTTCTGGTGTGAAGGGAAACAGCATTTTGGGAAACAGACTTTTTTTTTTTTTTTTTGTACAGTGCCCAGCACAATGGGGCCCAGGCCCAGATATTGCCATAATACAAATAATAATCATAGAACTATAGGGATGGAAGGGACCTCGAAAGGTCATCAAGTCAAGCCCCCTGTGCTGAGGCAGGACCAAGTAAAACTAGACTATCCCTGACAGGTGTTTGTCCAACCTGTACTTCAAAACCTCCGATGAAGGGGATTCTACAGTCTCCCTTGGAAGAATATTCCAGAGCTTACCTACCCCTACAGTCCTATTTTCACTGGATATGGAGAATAATTGATTGCTGTCCTCTTTGTAACAGCCCTTAATATATTTGAAAACTATTACCAGGTCCCCGCTCAGTCTTCTTTTCTCAGGACTAAACATGTCTAGTTTATTAACCTTTCCTCATAGGTCAGGTTTTCTAAACCTTGTATCATTGTTGTTGCTCTCCTCTGGACTCTCTCAAATTTGTCCACATCTTTTCTAAAGTGTGGCACCCAGAATTAGATTCAGTACTCCAGCTGAGGCCTCACCGGAGATGAGCCGAGCAAAACAACTATAAAATTCTGTTGATATCGGCTACACTAGAGGTTCTCCAGAATAGTTGATGGGAGTCCTACACAACCAAGCACCGTAGAAAAGTGGGAACCAGCCCTAGCAACATTCTTTAGAAAGGCACGTCGGACTCCCCACCTGAGCATCAGATGTCAAGATTAATCAGGACGACAGATTAGACAGCCTGTGCCTGGCTTTTCCAATCACTGTTGCCTCTGAAAAGCAGGTTTTTGAATTCGTTTCTCTATCTATACAAGAGCCACACTACTATTGTCATGAAAAAAATGCTATAGTTCCAGAAACTTTTCAGTTCGATGTAAATTCTTCTTTCCACGGTTCTTGGGAAATAGCTCTCCCACCTTTTTATTCCAATCCTTTGGAAGGTTGAGACATAAATGGGCATTCCTAGCATTCTAAAGATACATCTCAAGTATATTGAGGACACCCACAGAGTTCATCTCATTCCCTCCAAAATTCACTGCCTTCAGACCTCAAAGTTGCAGCAGACAAGATATTAAAATCCTGCAGCAGTTAGCCTACTAGGCATCTGGAAAACTATATATGGAGTAGGAATCCCCCAAAGTGCATGAGCTTCATCTGAGGAAATTTTGCAAAATAAGTTTCCATTCCTGTGCAGACACATCCTTTGGTAGAAAGGTTCCCTACTGGATTGGCTCCTTTAAATTACAAAATTCTTGCTTTTAAAGGTGGGGCAAGGGAGATAATTTCCATTCCTGACTAGTATTCTACTGTAATAATTACAACTCTGCTTATCCTCCCCCACCACTTCTTTGATTCACTGCTCGTTATTTTCCATTAATGATGAATGTGGAGAGAAGCTGTGCAGCCGAATGAAAAATTTCTTGCCTGATGATAATTTTCTTCCCGTTAGCAGCTTCTCCCCTCATTCAGACCACCCGGGTAATCTGGTAAATGACTGGAATACAGTTGGTAACAAATTGATTTTTTTCTCTAAAGGGAGACTTAAACATAAATGTAATTCATATATTCTATCAAGCTGTTGTCTTGATGCTAACATTGGATTCCTGGAGTGTTCCTTCAGCTTTTTTGCTGACCTCTTTTGCTGGGCTGAGTTGAAGGGCAGGGCTTAGTCCTGTAGCCTGCAGCAACATTGGCTTGCCTCTGTATCCCACAGGTGGGGGGCATTACCCATTAGGGATGAATGAGGAAAGAAGCTACTAACAGAAAATTATCAAGCGGTTTCTCATCTGTTGAATCGTAATTCTTAACTCAAAGGCCCCTACATATTTTATCTTGTAGATTCCATGTTTCTTATATTTTGTAATGCAATATCTGAGCATTTGTTACGTTGCTTTTTATGGCTGTGCTACACACTTACCATTAACACTCAGTAGCAAAAAGAGAGCACATCCAATGTACCTTGTGTTTTTCATGAACCCAAATTGCATCCTGCAGGATCTGGTGCAGGCAGTCAGCTGTTTGTAGCTGGTGCTGAGCCAGGGAATGTCTGAATCGTAACCGTGCTGAAGGACAAATGATTCAAAGCTCGTTGCAGTCTTTTAAAACAGCCACAGCTGTCTGTACTATAGGTGCCACTTTTTGCTAACAGCAACAAGGGACAATATGGCTCTATTCCTGTGGTCATTAATGTGGACTAAAGATCCACACCTCAGAGTTAAAGCAACTAAACCCAGAAAGCATGAAAAAAAAAAGATATTTTAGGACAGTAAAAACAAAAATTAGAAAAGAAATCCTAGATCTTAGCCATTTACTGCTCCAGAGAGACTCATCCCTGTCTGATTCATCTTAAATTGTTTTACTCACATCTATTAATTTCCAGAAAGCAAATGCATTTTAAATTGCTCAGTGCTAATGTGTTTCCCTTCCACCAGGATGAGAACATGGTTAGCTTTATCAAAGGAGGCATCAAAGTCAGGAACAGTTATCAGACATATAGGTAAGTAGGCCTGAATTACTGTATTATTATCATACCAGATGCCCATCTGCAGTAAAAAGACTCTGGTGGGAGGGGGGTGTCTCAGAATTACCATTGTTATTATTTATTTACTTAGGCACATAGTTATTATAACTTACACAATCTTCAAAATCTAGGAGCATGAGTAATTTTCAACCCATGCAGACTGGGATACGTGGTCCCCCTCAGTTCACTCCTAGAGAACATGGATTTCATACTGATTGGTGGCTAGCAAGTGAGCCACATCCACATGCAGATGCTGTTTATGTCAAACCTCCTCCCTCAGTCCTAAAACCAATCAAACAAAAACATCTGGAGTAGCTTTCAACTTGTCAGACAACTTGTTTCCTCTGTACTGTTCTATGCCCAGGGGGAGGGATAGCTTAGTGGTTTGAGCATTGGCCTGCTAAACCCAGGGTTGTGAGCTCAATCCTTGAGGGGGCCACTTAGGGATCTGGGGCAAAAATCTGTCTGGGGATTGGTCCTGCTTTGAGCAGGGGGTTGGACTAGATGACCTCCTGAGGTCCCTTCCAACCCAAATAGTCTATGATGCTGCCTTATCTTTTCCGCCTGAATAACTTTATTTAGATTATGGAAAAAACAGCCAGGCAAATAAGAACAAAAGCAAAGTCACTCACAGAGTTCAGTGTGTCCTCTGTAACATGCTGCATCATCCTGCCACACAATAGTGCAGACAGCTCTCCTAGAAATGTTAAAGGGATATGGAATTCTCCTTTTTAAAGCACTCATGGCAGTAGAGAGTGCAAGTTCATAGGTCCATCATTCGAAAGTTGACCATGTAAGTCTACCAAGCTGGCATCTCTCTTCATTTTTGCAAATACAAGAGATGTTCTCCTTAGTTCATGTACACATAAATCCCGGTATATTTCCTGTTGTTTGCATGGTAAAGAATTTGCCCTTCACATGTTTAGTCAGGGCATGCTTGCTTAGACGCCTGGTTTGTTAAAGTTTTGCACATGTGGAAAGAAACTGTTCTGTACTGTACTAATGAATAGGAAAAAGAAATGAGACCTTTTACCACTTCCATGGTTAACAATAGCTTCTGGCTACTTTCATCTATCTAGATTAGATGAGACTTCAGAGTTATGACTATAATTGTTATATTTCAAAATGACTGGTCAACTTTCGTACTGAATTGGGCTAAATATTTACCTGGTCATCCATGTATTCTGTAATGTTATCTTCTGTATTGTTAGGGAACTGGACAGTCTTATACAGTCTCCAAACTATGTTAAAGGAAAGAACTATCTCCACTTTGAAGGAGGCGTAAAGCTTGGTGTTGGAGCTTTCAACCTGGTATGTAAAAGAAGGCTTCACTAAGGCCCCACTGCTGTAAACACAGACATGCTTAACTTAAACACCTGTGTTCTACTGAGTTTAATGGAACCTCTCACGTTTGAAGTTAGAAGTGTGCAAGTATTTGCCGTGTCCGGCCCTCTGCTAGTTTACAGCATCTGCAGATACTAACATGATTAAGAACGATCAAGGGTGAACATACTACACATAAAAGAGAAATAGAGAGGAACTGCTATGGCCGTGATCCTAGAGTTCACTGTGTGCAAGCACTCCTCTGCATTTGCATGGAGCTCTGCTGACGTCAAGGAGTCTCTGCATGAGTGCAAGCGTCTGCCCGTATAGCGTTCATTGTAGGATTTGGGCCTGTGTTAGTACTTACTGTGGTCAGGACAAAGTAGCATGCTGGGCCACTTGACTAACCTGAGCTGTGATCAGTAGTTCGACTGTGGAAAGAGCTGATCGCAGCTCAGTCTTCACCTGATAGCTCCCTGCATGTTTACAATACCTAAAGCTTACAGAGATGTATCTGAGACCCCTCTGTGATTGAACTGAAGTACACTGCCTTTGATATGGAATCCTGCAGGCAAAAGGCACCATCCCCAGTCACTGCCACTTCTCCCAGCCAGGGATGGCAAATCGGTTTGACTAAAATAAGAACTAACCAGAACCTAATCTGAACAATTTTTAAAGTTCATAAGCTTAAATTGACTTTTTTGGAGGGGTGGAGGTGGGCAGCGAGGGGAGGTTGGTATGCAGGTGTCTGATTATTTTTGTGCACTTTTCTACATCTTGGTTTCATCCCACATCAGAAATGAAAGTACCAGTATGCTGTGAGAGAGAGGATGCTTTTACTGGTGTGTTTTTTTTAAACAGTAACGAGTAAGATTTGGATGTAATGGCTTGTTAGGCCTATCCAGCTCCTGGGAATGCCATAGCCTGTTGGCATGGTA